AAAAAAAAAAAAAAAAAAAACTAGTATTAGAGGTTGCCTCTGAAGAGGAAAACTAAGCAGGTAAGAGATAGAGATAGAAGAGTCTCACATTTTGCCATATTCTTTCTTGTACCTTTTTTTTTTTCCTGAAAGAGAGATAAGGTCTTGCTCTGTTGCCCAAGCTGGAGTGCAGTGGCCTTACCATAGCTCACTGTAACCTCGAACTCCTGGACTCAAGTGATCCTCCTGTCTCAGCCTCCTGAATAGCTAGGACTACAGGCAAGTGCCACCATGCCAGGCTATTTTTTCAATATTTTATAGAGACCAGGGTCTTGCTGTGATGCCCAGGCTGTTCTCAAGTGATCCTCCCCACCTAAAGTGTTGGGATTACCGGCGTGAGCCACCATGCCTGGCCTCTTGTACCTTTTGAATTTTTTTTCCCTCAAAAACTGGTCTATAGTGTGAAATGTTTATCATTTGCTTTTATTGATCATTCCAAAAAGAAAAAAGAAAATAAACTTTTTATATTATAAACCACAACTTACATTACCTAAATATTTCATTATACATTAAATGCATTATGCTGATCTTTGCAAAAAAACCTAAATTGACCTAATCATAGCTCTAGTATTATTAATAATTTCAACTGCATTGATGATAATGGCCAAAGGTTGTTACATTTTTAGCTAAATTAGCCAATGAGAATCAATTTGTTAAGGTATATACTTTATTAAGATATATCAATTTATTAACATATGTAAGAGGGGTTGCCTGGAGATGAGAAAAAGGAAAAAACATAAGTATGTGGATGGGGGACACAATGAGAATAACTTCATTCATTCATTCAAAAATCATATCTGCTCACATGGTACCAATCATTGTGCTAAATGCTGAGGAAACAATGACATAAGTAACTTGTAATTTGGTGGGAATATACTAATAGAGCTGTAAAACTGGAGCTCTTGTGGGCTTGGTTACTCAAAATATTCATTCATTCAATAATGAACACACAATTAAATGAATGAAGGCAGGAAGAAAGCAAGCCTGGTGACAAAATACACTCCCCCGAAGCCTCTAGTAACGAAAAGAATACCAAGGATTGATCCCTCAATCTGACAATGCTGTGGACCTGCGTTGCCAGAATCCCAAGAGCCAGAGGAGCCTGCAGGGGTCTGAGGCGTGGCTCTTCATCCACCGCTCCTTCCTCTGACCCGAGAGCTTGGGAAGGTGAAGAAGGTAAGGGTCCCCAGGACTCAAACCCCACATTTGCCTCCCTTCAAGCCAGGCACTCCTACACCTGAGCTCACCAGGTCTCAGTTCTCTAATGTCCGAGAGGTAACAAACGCCGGGTCGACCTTTGACCCTCAAAATGAAAGTCACTTTGGGCCAGTTCCCTCATGAACAGGCAATATAGAAGGCAAGAGAAACTAAAACTCCTTTCGAGCAGCCCCTAGCTCCGAAAAACCGTGAAAACAGGAGGCACCTGGAGAAGATCACAGAGGAAAGGTGACCCCAGAAGCTCCTGCAGTCAAATGCACAGTCGGCTTGGCGGGCTAATGGCACAGTCACTGACCTTTCCACAGGGGCTTCCCAGGGGCGGTGGCCAGAGGAGCGAGAGCGGCAGCCCAGACCCCGCACCCAACACATCTCACTCTCAGCGGGCTCTGAGCTAAAGAACGCAGAGTAACCACAAGCGACCAGGAGGCCGCCATCTTGAGCTCCGTATAAGGGTAGCAAGAGGAAAACTTTATTGAAACCTAGATGAGAGACGGTGGCAAAGTCAAATCCAGCCGTACTCGCTGAAGGCTCCACCCGAGAAAACGAAAGGGAGCAGTTAGAGAACGTGACCTCCAGGAGCCCGCGGGGCGGGCTTGACTCTCGTGCCCTTCTGCCTTGCGGGAACAGCCAGCCGGGACTACGACTCCCAGCATTCAGTGCGCCGCCGCCGGGGGCGGGGCGGGCAGCTGCCGTCCGGGGGCCGGAGGGAGGCAATTCTCCACCCACCACCAGCTGCCCAAGAATCCGAACTCTTCAATGAATTGGGAGCAGGCCAGGCGAGGTGGCTCACGCCTCTAATCCCAGGGATTTGGGTGGCTGAGGCCGGAGGATTGCTTGAGGCCAGCCTGGACAGCACGGCACGACGCTCATGTCTACAAAAACTTGTTTTAAAGATTAGCTAGGCCTGGTGGCACGCACCTATAGCCCTAGCTTCTCAGAGGCTGAAAAAAAGAATTAGGAGGTGATTATAACGAGTAGTCAGGTAACAACTCCTGAGCCTTTTTAGTTCACATGACCGACATTCTGAAACCTAAATGTAAATAAAATGTAGGTGGCCCGATGGGCCATCATGTTTTAACTAAATATTGATGTCACCTCAACACACCTCCCTAAATCGCACTCCCAGTTTTTTTGCCTCCAGCGTCTGACTCATCTTTGGCAGAGTACCTGAAATGTGTTCCTAGCACTCTTCCTTTCCGTGTTTGAATAACATAAATCATTTTTAATATTTCACACACTCAAATGTTTTGAAAGAATTTGTAAGTAGCATAGGAAAGGCAATGGCCCAAGATGGATAATTGCTGGAGGGAATTAGTCATGGGACGGTGTATCAGAAGGGTAATTTCTAATTGATCTTCCCTAATGTAATTAAACAAAAAATGTTTTGAGGCACTATGATAAGTGTATTAAGAACACAAACTGCTGTCCAGAAGAGGCTGGCAATCCAGTAGGAGGGATGAAGAATGTGAGAAAAGATAATACAAAGTGCTGTAGAGTCAATGAGAGAGCACTTGGGCTGGTAAATCAGGAAGGCTTTCTAGAAGCTTAACTTTTAACAACAGATGAAGACCTTCCAAGAACAGGGAATAGAAGGAACTAAAGCAGACAAGAAAGTCAGGATTATAGGAAGGAGAAAGCCGTGTTTCAGTTGTGTGAAAACAAATGAAAACACTACATGAGGAAGAGTTCCAGGAAGTCAGGTAGCTGGTCCCCACTCTAAGAGGGAGTCCAAAGAAACAGGAAAAGTATAACATGGCATAATAATTTGGAGATGTTTCTACCAACTTCATCAAGTCATTTATGGGAAAAACTATTTTGATTATATCTGTCAAAATAAGTTAATTTTAAAAATAAGCCAATTTACACTTACTATTTGTTTTCTTTCTTCTTTTTTTCAGTCTCAGTGGAGACTGTCAAAAAATTGCCAATGCCAACTATATTTCAAGTCTTCATGGCAGGGTATTGGGAAAAGTTTTCAATGAGCAATAATCATACCTCGGATGAACCTCATTGGCTACGATACTGCCACTGGGAAAAGCTTATTTTCTATCTTTAATTCTGTTGTCTAACATAACAAACTGTTCCTCCACACTATGTCAAATTTTTTTCTTTTCATGTTACTAACTTTTGGGTGTGACACTTTCTGAAAGGCCTTTTGAAAATCAGATTGTTTCTCCCTTGACTTACATATTTATTTATCACACTCAAAAGATTTTCAGAGAGTATTTGCTGTTTTGTTTTGTTTTGAGACACAGCCTCACTCTTGTCACCCAGGCTAGAGTGAAGAGGCATCATCATAGCTCATTGCAACATCCAACTCCTGGGCTCAAGCGATCCTCCTGCCTCTGCCTCCCAAGTAGCAGGCACTACAAGCATACACCACCATGCCCCGCTAATTTTTCTATTTTTTGGTAGAGACAGGGTCTCACTCTTACTCAGGCTCATCTTGAACTTCTGAGCTCAAGCAATCCTCCCACCTCAGCCTCCCAAACTGCTAGGATTACAGGCATAAGCCACCACACCCAGCCCAGAGAGTATTTATATATCATTATGTTTGCTCTGGAAAAACAATTGCTTGCCTTGGTCAATGAAATTATCATTTATGAGAGATTCCAACAGCTTAAAAATTATGGAGGTGAAATAAGCTCTCCTAGATAGTTGAATGCCAAATTGGCAGGAAGAGCTACAGAAAATTTTCACATGGCTGTGCAAGTAGACAGAAACATAGCAAATAAACTTTGTGTACAAGTTTAAGGTAATTTAGAGGGAAATAAATTACATTTGTTGTATTCAAGAGAATTCATTATGACCATAAGACTAAGTAGCCATTGTAAACTATTTTATTAAAATGTTAATCCTGGCTGGGCAACATGGCGAGACCCCACCTCTACAAAAAAAATTTTTTTTCATTAGCTGGGTATGGTGGCACACACCTGTAGTCCCAGCTACTCTGAAGGCTGAGGCAAGAGGATCAGTTGAGCCCAGGAGTTTGAGGTTGTAGTGAGAGCTATGATGACACCACTGTACTCTAGGCCCAGGCAGCCTAGCAAGACCCTGTCTCCAAAAAAAAAAAAATCTGTGTTTTACTTTCCTGGAAAGCGAGTTAAAAAAAAACAAAAAATGAGGGTGCTGTCTGTCTAGCTACCCCAAAGAGGTTATATGAAAATCAAAGGAGATAATATATACAGTAAACACAAAGGGTTAATCAGATATGATTGTAAATAGAAATTCAGAGAGGATAAGATCAAAGTCTAACAAGGAAGGATATGCCTGGGACAACATGGATTCATGATATCTAAGAATTGTAGAAGTAAGGAATGCACTCTAAAGCTTCAAAAAAGTAGGGAGATATTTTTATTTATTATTATTATTATTTCTTTTTTTACTGGGAAGCCTGCAACAAGTTGTGGGGAGATATTTTTAAATAGAAGAATGTGCTATGGAACATCAACACTTCAAGTAGCAAATTTATGAAACTCATTAAAGGAAAAAGGAAAAAAATGGATTCAAAGTAGGATTTAAATAAATGAGATGATAATTCATAATAAATATGGGTGATTGGGAGTATTTACTTTTTTTTTCTTTCTTTCTTTCTTTCTTTTTTTTTTTTTTTTGCATATGGCCTTCCAGGGAGTATTTACTTTTTCACCAGCTCTAGCACACTACGATTTTCTATTTCCAAGTTCATGAGATTACCATTTTGGCGGGTACTTTTAGGGCCACTGACAGAGACAGACCATAGATAGAATATGCCATTGGCATGAACCAGTCAAAATACCATTTCCTCATACTGTTGTTGTTCCTCTTCTTAAAACCATCCCCTTAAGGAGGAAAGGATACCATAATACCTGATTCCCACTTCCACTACCCCATCTGTAGCCTCCTCTATCACAGTGGATGGCAACTGTAGCCTTCCAGTTGCTCAGGCCATTTATCACAGGAACCATCCTCTGCTTTCCTCTTTCTCTCTCACCCACATCCAGTCCTTCAGTGAATTTCGTTGGCTCCAACTTCAAGATTATCCAGAATCCAATCACTTTTCACCACCAGTATATTGCTACCACCAACCCTGGCCCAAGTCACCATCAATCACCTCCCTGCTGGATTTATGCAATTGCTTTCTAACCAGTCTCCTGGCTTCCACTCTTGACCCCTATAGTCTATTCTCCACATAGCAGCCAGATATATTTTCTAAATTCCAAGATGAATCAGGCCATTCCTGTGTTTAACACCCACTAGTGCCTTCCCCTGTCACTCATTTATCAAAACAGCCTACAGGGCCTCATGATCTGGGACTCAACCAGCTTTCTGATTTCATCTGAGACCATTCTGCTTTCCACTCCCTGGCCATCTACATTGGCTTTCTTGATGTTCCTAGAACTCACAAAGCCCTATTTACCCTCAAAGCTTTTGCACGTCTTCTTCCTCCTGCTTGGAATGGTCTCCTCCAAGGTATATACTCGGTTCACTTCCTCATGTCGTTACTTTCTTATAATACCTTCTCAGCTAAATCTATCCCTAACTACTATCTATATAAAATTACAGACTCACCCAGTGCTCCTTTTCTTCCTTCCCAGTTTTATTTTCTCCATAACACTTAACATTATCTGGCATAATACATACTTTACTAATTTATTAGATTATTATCTGTTCTTATTACTTTTGCTAGAATTTAAGTTCCATGTGGGCAGGAATTTATGTCTGTTTTGTTCACTGCTGTATCCCCAGGACCTAGAATAGTTGCCTAGGTTATAAGGGACTCAATAAATATTTGTTAAATGAATGAATAAGTAGTCTTACTAAAAATACAAACTTTATCATTGCCTTTCTGCAAAAAAGCAGACTACCTTCTCCATGGAATCAGTGATGCTTCTAATATTTTGAACCATTTTTAAAAATAAAATTTATGGTGTATATTTGAGGTTTACAACATAGTGTTATGGAATACATATAGATAGTAAATGGTTACTATAGTGAATTGAATTAACATATCACTCATGGCACAGTTACCTTTTTTTGTGACAAGAGCAGCTAAAATCTACTTATTTGACAAAAAATCACAAATATCAATTTTATTAACTAAAGTCCTCATGTTGTACATTAGATTTCTAGACTCGTTCATCCTACATATCTGCTACTTTGTATCCTTCGATTTACATCTCCCCATTTCCTTCTCCCACCCTGCACCCCTCCTCCTAGTACCCACCATTTTAATCTCTATGCCTATATATTTGACCTTTTAAAAAAAAAAAGCTTCCATATATAAGTGAGATCATGCAATATTTTTCTTTCTGTATCTGGTTTATTTCACTTAGCATAATGTTTTCCAGATCCATCCATGTTGTGGCAAATGGCAGGATCTCCTTTTTTTTAATTCAGTCTCCATAGAGACTATCAAAAATTGCCAATGCCAATTATATTGCAAGTCATCACA